GTTGATTTAGTTTTGTTATCAGAGTTTTTCTTCCTTTTTCTCCTTCTTCTTTTATAACCTTTTTTATGTTTTAAATACCTATTATTTGCATATCAATTATTTTGGACTTACCTTTTAAATTTGTGATTTCTTCCTTACAGACTTGATACTTTTATATTCCTTGGTCTTTATGTTGACACACTCATTTCCCTTTGTTCTTTCAAGCTAACCTGAGTCTCAACAATAGCTAACTGCTCCTTCAGCTAATCTACACGTTTGTGCAGCTAGAGAGTCAGGTTTAGCTTCAAAATTTCTCCTCAGATCTGCTTCTTATTTTGTTAGTTGATATCTGTCTCCTTTAGCAAGTTCATTCTATATTTTGAATTCTATGTTTGACCATGTCTTCTTTTCTTTTGGAACACCACACACACACACACACACACACACACACACACACACACACACACTTTCTTTGTTACCAATGAGATTTCTGATTGTTAGAATACTCACTTAAGACAGTCTTGAAATCATGGAACATAAACCTATTCCATGTGGAAGAAAGTTCTTGACTCATTTTACCTGTTGAAGCATTCCTGCAACCTACGGTTTCACCTGAACATGTCATCTAAAGGCCCAGACAGGTTTCACCTGAACATGTCATCTAAAGGCCCAGACACTGTTATACTTGGAAGGGACTCAAGTAGTGGGAAAAAGGTAAGCCACATTTTGATTACTGTGTTCCCAGATTCCTTGTGCAAGACTCATTCATTTAATTAACTAGATGACTTCACTTGCTTTGTAGATATTATATTTAACTTAAGCATGTTAAACATGCTTTTGCATGAATTTTAAGACTCATAATGAGAATATGATAGAATAAGCTGATTTTCAGTTAATTCCATGTAATACCCTTTTACATAGACATACAACTTCATGTCTTTATATTAATAACTGATAGTTAGCTAGTGAGACTACTCTTGCTAGTTCAAACATATTGAATCTAATATAACAAGTAGAAAACTGTAAATCTTGGTATTGTGTGTAAAAAGTTGGTTCCTTTCCATGTAAACTTTGCTTCTTTGTCTCTGTCACCTTTTAACGGAATAATATTTTTATAAAAGCAAACACAGAGCCTCGAGGTAGTGATGTACACCTTTAATCCCAGTACGCAGGAGGCAGAGGTATGTAAATCTTTGACTTTAAGACCTGTCTGGTCTACAGAGCCAGTTCTAGAACAGCCAGGGCTACACAGAGAAACTCTGTCTCAGGAGGAAAAACAAAACAAAACAAAAGAGAAATGTATTAATTTCTCTAATTGTGGGTCATTATTTTCCTAGAAATATTTTAAAGACTTGTTTATTTCTCATCACATTTAATATACTAAATGGGTATTAAAAGTGGTATTGCTTGGCTTTATTCACTATATATTTTATTTTGCATCTAAGCATGAATATAGTGAACATTAAAATTTACCCTTTAAAATATACTACGCTAAACACAATGGGAATAGAAAACAATGCCTTCTAGAACTTCATATTAATAAGTAGCAGTAGCAGGAGGGCACTTCCCAACACTGAGAAAATGCTGACCAATATGCAATTTGTGTGTAGGCGGAATAGTGGAAGACACAAGGAGAGAAAGGTAAACAGGATTGTTTAAACGACCAATGGTAACTTTACTCAAAGTAAGCCATGGGAAATTTCCAAGCCGGGGAGTGATGTTCTGCAAACTGTACTCAGGAAGATTAACCTAGTTACACTGTGTGGGATAAGCTGCAGCAGAGAGATTGGAGAGAGGCATTCCATTTGAGATATTAGAAAAACCAACAGGGCTGAAAGCATCAACAAAATGACAGTGAGAATGGGGTGAGGAGGTGGATTTCAGAGCGATCGCAGAGGTGGGATGTAACAGAACTTGGCAGTTGTTTGGCTGTGGGAGGAGAAGTCATCTAAGAGCTTAGCAGCCTTATCTATGGGATGAAGTTTGTTCTTTAGAACAGAAGTAGGAAAGGAGAGGGAGGATCAGACTTTCTAGAGAGGAAAAGAACTTAAGATTTAAGTTTGGACATATTCTATTTGAAGTGGTAATGGGACACGTATTTTAGGTATTTATATTAAACAAAGTATGCAAAATATGCTTTGTAGTTGTTGAAACACAAATCATCATTTTGAACATATGTCACTTATAGTGTGACCTCTAGCAACATTAATAGGGTTTATTTAGCTTAGTGTGAGCCATGTAAAATTATTTATTCATTTTTATAAAAGAGCTAAACAATGGGAAACTAGCGTCCCAATGAGTTGAGGAATTTAGTTTACAGTGGATGTGGTGGTGTATGTCCGCAAACCCTCAACTTGGAAGGCTGAGAGAGAGAGGTGTTCACAGTTGAGGCCAGTCTAGACTAATCAAGACCAAACCTCAAAAAGCAAAACAAATCAACAAAAAGATAAAATTATTTTCAAAATCATTTTGGCATATTCCGTTATAAGGTATTCAGTGGCTATTGAAGGCAGAATTCTCAGCTTTCATTTGACACTCGGTATATCATGCTATTTACTTAATCATCAAAATGCTACAAAGAAAAATTAGTACCTGTGTAGTTCTTTGCTGCACAGTGACACTGTATATCTGATAAATAATCAAGTTGATTTTCTGATGTTTGTCATTAACAAAATTCTGCCTTTGTTTTGTAAATTTTAAAAAAAGTATTATTTTAAGTTTTCTGTCCATGAATGTTTTTCCTACCTGTTTGTCTGTATACCACATGCATGCCTGGTGCTCACAGAGGCTCAGAAGAAGGCATTGGATCCCCTAGAACTGGAGTTAGAGGTGGCTGTGAGCCTCCGTGTGGGTCCTGCAATCCTTAAAGGAAGCCAGTGCTTTTAACTGCTGAGCTCTGCAGTCAGGGCTTTTAACTGCTGAGCTCTCCATTGCTCCTGCTTTCTTGTGAAGAGTCTCACTATGTAGCCCTGGCTGGTCTGGAACTCACAAAGGCCCACCTCTGTCTCCTGAGGCCTGGGACTAAAAGTGCTTAACACCACAGTGGTACAAAGCTTCATGAAAAATTTTATTCTGGAAGGACCTGGTAGATAGAATTGGAAGGCACATAAGTTCTGAGGTCAGATATATTTCAGTTCAAAGAACTCCTACTAATACTGTGCAAATGGTCAACTAGAGTGTTGTGAATTGGCATTAAATATTTTTGTTTTAGACACTATGAAATGCTAGACCCAAATATTTATTTTGTGCTTGTGGATAGTCATAATTAACATATTTTTAAAAAAAAAGTAGCACACTCAACCTGGATTGTTCACCATAATGAGGAAACACCATAATGAGAGATTATAAAAAGATATTTACGTTTCATATTTAAAAGTATTTTCCAATCTTCAAATACTGTGTAGTAGTCTGCTTATTGAGACAGGAGAAGAAACTTTTAGCTGGGAAAACCAGAGAAGACCAGCCACAGTAATGAAGAAAATACTTTTCTATGCTAAAAATACAGACTTTCCAAGAATGCAGACTTCTTGGAGATCAAGTATTACAAAATTATTAAGGGTCTAGAAGCTCTGCCATTGATCACTCATCCCTCTGAAGACCCTGGAGGAAGACATTTACCCACAGACAAGGCAGGGCAAGAACACTGTATACCAAGTGGTACCTCAGGCAAGAGTCCCTTCTACAGGTTTGTGAATGGGCTTGAGGATATGCTTCCCCCAAGAATTTATCTAAATTAGGTTAGACACAATGTTCAAAAATTCAAGTCAGACAGAAGGTACACAAAGTGCTACCATTTCTATTCCTAATCTAGCCCCAAACCTATTCAAGGAAGGGCTAACTTATGTCATTAAAGACAACAGCCAGAGGAAGACATGACTCTACCCCATTGTTTACAGAAACTGTGGCCTTGTGAATCATCTCCCAGAAGGACACTTAACTACCATGTTCCTAAAATGACCCTTTATTTTCCAAGACTGAGCAATGCAATAAAAAAAGCAGGCTAAGATCAGAACAAGGACAATCTATACAGTGATTGATTCCCTATCATTGTCATGAAACAGTGTCCAACTAGGTTACCTTCACAGGAAACCTGCCCCTTGTACATAGTGTCATTCAGAAGTTCCTTAGTATGCTGATCATACAAGGACAAAACAAACTAGAAGCTATTGAAATAATTTCTTACGTGGGCTGACTTACAATGCCCCTTTTCCTGTGTTAATCAGGTGCACTAAAAAGCACTGTGAACACAAATGCTCTTGGTGCAGGGGCCACCACTGCTCAGAGCACGGCTCTGCGGTCGATGTAAAAGGTAGACTCTGCTGCCTGGAGGTGCTCTGTGCTGTATTATGTTCCTCTGTACACTCACTGTTAGCATGGTCACTCTCTCCCTGCCAGCACCCCTGTGGTAGATAACAGTAAATCCTTGTCTGACTGGGTATTTCCTTCAGTTTCTGGACAAGGGACGGCAGCAGGCTGTAGATGCTGTACTCTGCCATGAACTTGCTGAATGGGTTGATAAACTGGTGGACCATCAAGAGCAAATGATGTCCTAGGAATTTCCAATGGGTGGTTAATGGAAACATCACACTTAATGATGCGGTTTTCCTCCTTTTATCTGTGACTCTTCCTAGTATGTCATGGTAAGTTCAGTCTAGATCTTCTGATTGGGAACTTGCTATAGACTGTATAAATGAGGCTAAAATAACACTGAGAGAATTATTATGGGTTTTATAAGAATGTAGGAAGCACTAAAGTCAACGAGAAAGTTTAACAATTCATTACAAAGACGCTTCCCAAATGCTATAATATTCTGGATATCTTGTGTGTCACTTTGTTGATTATTCATGGCCTCCCCAACAGGAAGCAGCCAGCACAGGGACAGGAGCATCGCAGAGATGACAGGGATGCAAGAGACCTGCTACAAGGCTCTCAGCGGAAATGCCCCGAGGGCTGGGCCGGAGCTTCCGGCGGGAGCAGGGGGGTGTGAGGAGTAGGCGGAGCCAGGGCCGGAAGCTCTCGAGACTAATCCCCTCGCCGAGAGCGGCGGGAATACCGAGCGGAAGTGGTGCGGGCGGGGAGGCGGGAGCCGTGGCCGCCGTGCGCTCCGTTTCACCTGGGCGCCCGAGGCCCGGGGGGCAGGCTGAGGCCCATGAGCCCGTCCGCCCGCGCGCGGCTGGCACGCTAGCTCCCGGGCCTCCCGCCCCTCGCCACCATGTACGACCGCGCTCCCCGCTGCCTCCGGTTGGCCGAGGGGGGCAGCACCGCGGAGCATGTGGGGCCTGGGTCCTACCAGGTCCCGTTCCCTAAGCCGGCCGCAGGTGAGAAGCGGGGGCCAGCTTCCTGTGGCGGGGACGCCGTCAGCCCGCCCGGAGGACCCCCCTTCACGCGGGAAACACAGGCCTCAAGTAGCGCGGGAACATCCGGAGCTAGGGTTCCCATCCCGTGGCTCGGTGTGAAGCCTTGTGTGCTTGTCGCTTCTGCCCTTGGTAGCCTTTGTGGTTGTCACACACCTCAGTCAAGTTTACTTAACTACGACGAAACTGTTCCTATTTCTCTTTGGTAGTGTCACTTACCTGTGGTCTTGTCGTACCCCCCACCACACACACACACACACACACACACACACACACACACACACACACACACACACACACACACACACACGCACGCACGCACATACACACACACACACACACGCACACACACGCGCACACACACACACACGCACCCCCAGACAGTGAAATTATCCGACTGTCCCTGGCTTCATTCTCACTGAGGATCTCTACATTCTGTGAAAAGTTATATTCTTGAGAGGTGGCCTAGGGACTCGTTAAGTAGCTATTTGCTTTTTAGTTTTTTTTTTTCAGCTCTTGAATAGCCTCAACTTGTAATAAGTATTTCTAATTTGCCTTCTGCTTTTAAAGTTCTGATTTTTAAAAATTTTAATACCATCCAAATTGTATTGTTTTCTTTTGTAAACTTCCATTTTCAATAGATACAAAATGCCAATTTTTTTTTCCTCTTAAAAGTCCAGGAGTAACCTATTTACTTTCCTGCTCAGAATGTGGTTGGTTTAAGTTTTCTCTGGACATGGTAAACATTTTTTCATCAGTATTTCAGCTCTCAAGTTTGCCGATTTTTTTGCATCTGCCCTCAGCATTTATGTATTATGTTAAATACAGTGGAGCTGTTATAAGCATTTATTCCCCAACATCTTAGTATTTACCCACAATCGGCACACCTGTGGTGCTTTTATAGCCTTTATTTTGGCACAGCAGACCACTTGGTTGCTTTCTCCCTGTTCTTCTTCCTGCTGTTAAGTACCAATGGTTCAGTGCTGAACCAAGGAATATTGTTTTTCTTTCCTACCAATCATGCATACTTTTGAAAGATACTGTACTTTCCATCTTTTCCTTGTTGCTTTGCTCATTGTACTTAAAAACAAAACAAATGCTTTATTCAATAGTTGCAGATCATCATTGGTCAAGCGGTAGCAGCAAGATCAGCATAAAAATATGGAATGCTTTACAAATTTGCATGTCATCCTTGCTAATCTCTGTATCGTTCCAATTTTAGTATATGTGCTGCCAAAATGAGCACTTTCTTATTCGTATCTATTACTTCAAGTACTATTTATATTCAGTTACTCCCAAATGAAAATCTTTTGTAGAGATAGATAGGGCTTCTTTCTCCAAGGTAAGTTTTCTCTTAAGTCTGAGCATCGTCCATCGTCTTCATTGCCATCCCTGGCTGGTCTAAGCTTTAGAACTCTAGCTTCCTTTTTTGCCTGGCCTTTTCTCTTGGCCTTAAGACTATTGGTTATATCTTCTCAGTCACTCAGAAATTCTTTCCCTCTCTTCATACCTACCCCAACCTAATACAAGCCCTTATTTTTTCTCAGTTAAATCACTAGAATGTTGCTTCTGTCTCAGTGTTTAAATTCATCCTTTCATCTTGTGGATAGGCTCATCTTTAAAAAAATATACATTATTTGAAAAACAAAAACATTTTGTAACACCAGTGTTAAACATACAAACTCTTCAATAGCACTAGAATTCTTTATGTTCTTATCTTTGATCTGGTGTTACACTTAATTTGATCTTTCCAAACAGTGCACATTGCTTCTCTGCTTGACTACAGTTAAACAGTTCTAACTTGATAATTTTCTTAAGACGATCTCTATCACTTTTGTGCCTTTGTATCTGCTAATATATGTGGTGTCCAATGTATTCTGTGTTCCTCCTTCACTTGACTTATTCCTACTTATTCTTGATTGTCTACTGAAATAAAATTGGTACTTCCCCCCCCTTCTGACTTACAGTGACTTCTTTTGGGTAGCAGTTTTATTCTATAATTACTGTTAATATATATAAAAGTCCTAAACTGTGAACTACTTGAGAGCAGTAATCATGATATTTACTCCACTCTTAGTTTTCTATCCAATAACACAAAGTTCTCAATGAAAAACTCTTGTAGTAAAGTATAAACTAACAAACAACATTACAGTTTCCTGTGAGGTTATTGAGATGACCCAAGGGTAAAGACACCTACTGTCCAGTTTGATGACTTGAGTTTGATAATTGACTGTCACAAGTTGTCTTCTGTCTTTTTACATATGTACACATATAACAGCAAACAAAACAACAAAAACAAACAACAAGCCCCCTATACTAACATAAAGGATTCTCATTAAAAGTAACCTGAATGGATCAGGACTTAGCTATTGTGCTTTTATGAGTGGGTAAGAGATGGATACTCAAATTCCACAGAAAGCAAGAGCTGTGCCTTGTTTTCTCACAACTAATCTGAGAAGGAAGCATATCTTCCCAAAGAAAAATTCCCCTAGAGACAGCTATTCTAGTCTAAAGGCAGCTACCTTCCATCTTATGAGAAATCATTCTTTTTAAATATGTGTTTATCCTGGCATGGCATTAGGAATATTTCATTGCTTTTGTAAATGCATTTAAAAAATAAATAGCACCCCACAGTAGCTGTATATTAGTTTTCTGTATGGATTATATATTAGCCATCTAAGTTGACAACATCTAAATATTTTCTTTTGTAGATTTCTTTTTTAAAGGGGAAGGTTTATCTGCCTCCAGAGCAGGGAGGAAGGAGATTGTGTGTGGTTCTACTGATGTACCTATATGTGTATGCCAACAGGGATGATTTTATTCTAGCTAGTCAGAATATAGAGAATCCACATCAAGGAGTGCAGTTGATATAGAGGTTTACAAAATTACTGTTTATGTAATTTCTGTAAAATTGATGTCTTCCCAGGCCTAGTTGTTTTGTATGTGAAGAATGCCCTTTGCTTAGTGGCTGTCATTGTGGTTACATAACTTGTCTCACATACTGGACATCTTTTTCTAAATGGATGTTTATTGCTTTGTGCTAGTTTGATTTATCTTTTGTTATTGGCACATCAAACTCAATATATCCCAAACTGAATACATTTCTTTCAAATATTTTGTCCTCTTATGTTCCTTTGTCTCCTTTCTGTCAGTTTGATTTATCATGTAAAGCTGGCTGTTCATATGTCAGTTTATCTGTAAACCCCAAATCTAACTCTTTTAATGTGAATTCTTAGAACCCTCTAGTATATTTTGTACTTTAGTTATTGGAAGCACAGATAGTAATATAATTGTTTATTTACCTAATTTGTCCATCACTTGAAACTAGGTTTTTGTCTTCATTTTCATTCAGGCTTATAGTATATGTAACAAAATATTCAGTATTTTTGAATGACCAAATAAATGAGTAATGTAGAATACTAGTTATTCTTTATTGTTGATTGTTGATGCATAATATGGTGATAAGATGATCCATCTCTTGCTTGTGTGGAATCAGCTATTCTAGTTGTAGCATTTTCAGTCCCATGTTTGGAAAAAGTAGGACAGTTGGAAATTCTGAGAAACATGTAACCATTATACAGAGCTATAAATAAGACAGAAGACAACTTTCTGTATGGTAATTGCCATTGCAACTGTTTTCTTTTCCTTGTGTTTCTTTCTTGTACTCATAACTCTATTTGTGCTCCAACTCACTAACAGAAGAGTCTGTGTGATTAATTTTGGAAAGCTTCAACGAGGATTTTATGAATACCAGATTTCTTTTTCATTGCCCACACAAATTTGCTATATACCCTAACATCAATAATATGAATAGTGGGATATTATGAAATCATCTTTCCCTTCTTACACATTTATCAGGCTGTGCAAATTTGTATGCTACTGTGATTGCTTGTTACAATGAAGTTTATTAGACAACCAGGAAATATTTGCTGAGCACTAACTTTGTGACAAAGCACTATCAATAACCTGTTGTCGATTTGGTTTAAATTCTCTTCATCTTGGTTATTTCTCTAATTTTTTTTATGGGATTGAACCCAAGGCCTTGTGCATCCTAGACAGTTGTTCTACCATTGAGATACATCTTTAGCACTGTCTATAACTTTATATTTTTTGGAGAGGGTTGAGGCAGGGTTTCTCTGTAGCTTTGGAGGCTGGCTTGGAACTGTCTCTTGTAGACCAGGCTGGTTTCGAACTCACAGAGATCTGCCTGCCTCTTTCTCCTGAGTGCTGGGTTTAAAGGTGTGGGCCACCACCGCCCAGCTGTATGTATTTTTTAAAAAGACAATATTTGCTATTTAGAATTCCAAAGCCTTGGTCTCTGTAGATAAAGCGTCTTATCAGTGAAGTCACATACGATTAGAAGAGAAGGCTGGTGAGACAGCATGGTGGCTAAGGCGCTTGCTGCACCAGCACCAGCATTCGAGTTGTGTCCCCGGCACCACCCACAATCAACCATAGAGGTGCGGTTCTGTAACCCAGTGCCGGACTAGGGTGGGGCCGAGAATGGGGTGATGAATTCACGGGCAAGCTAGTGGAGTCAACATGTGGAAATTTCCAGGATCAGTGAGAGACCCTGCCTCAAAAAGTAAGCTAGAAAGTTGTGTAAGAAGACACCTGATACCGATCTCCAACTTCCATGTACTTATGTACAAACCCACAAACCTGGACACACATACGCACACAAATGGGTGATTCATGCGCACATACAAGAAAAGAGAATTTTATTTTTCCTGTTCTTCAATTAGTTCATTTCTATAGGGTCTTGTATTTAATGGATATTAATAAAAATTGTGATCCTACATGACAATTAAAAATGTTATAATTTGTATGAATAGCTATTAGCTCTGAAAATATTGTCTTAATCCCAGGGTACTAAACGATTGTATATATCCTGAGTATATTTTCTTGGAAATATTTCTGATCTAATACTGTGTGTGAGTGGTAATTTTTGTTTTATAGGTGGCTATGCACCATTTCTTTCTTTGAGTTCCAGACAAACTGCTTATGCTGTTTCCCCCCACACTGAAAAAGTTGCTCCAGGTCCAGCACACTACAATGTATCACAAGCACAGGTGTGTTTATGATGTTATGATGACTAAGTTAATGACAATCATGTTTTCTTAACCAGATGCACACATTTATAACCCGAGTACAGCAAGTTCAAGGCTAACCCAAGCTCAACAGTGGCACACATTTATAACCCAAGCATTCTAAGTTGAAGGCTAATCTTAGGCTAAAAAAAAAAAAACAATTAAAATCATCAAAACAAAACAATACGAAGTGCCATTTGTTGTATTTTATTTTTCCCTCATATCTTTCTCTTTTAAATCTGCATTTTTATAAATAAATAATGGAAGATAAATGCATTTGATGTTGATTGCCTTTGCATTCTTCATTATTCTATATATGCTGTGATACAAAACATGGCTGTGTGTTTCAGTGGCCCACAAGAGTAGCAGAATTGGGCTCTTGAATGAATTTTGATGTCTGAAAATTGTACAAATTGCCAAGCTATGTAGGCAGCAGTGGTACACTTTTTGTGCTCTACTTTAAGGCTATAACGTTGCCATGTCTCATTTGTTTCCCATTTTTTGCATGGCCTCATAGGTCTGTGACCAAAATAACTTAAATGGCCCCAGTAATGCTCATAAATAATGTGTATTCTGAAGATACTATAGTATTTTCTTACAATGAATATAATTTTATAAATTGGAATTTTATTAGAATGAACATGTTGGTGATTTTTTGTTTTGGAGAACCCATATTTATAGTATGATGTGCCTTGGAAGATTCCTTCCAGTGTGTTCTATGAGTTAACAGTTCTTAAGACAAAGATGAACTGAAAGGCTGTTATCCAATAAGCCTGTATAAAGTTCTCTGTAAATAACCAATATGTATGTTATAAAAATAACTAATCATGAGCAAGCTGTGATAAAATGCCATGACCCAAAACAACTTGGGGAGGAAAGGGCTTATTTGGCTTCCTAGTAAAACATCACTGTTCATCACTGAAGTGAGGGCAGGAACCTGGAGGCAGGAATGATACCTGGGGGAGTGCTGCTTATAGGCTTGCTCCCCATGGCTTGCTCTACCTGCTTTCTTATAGAATGCAGGGCCACCAGCTTAAGGGTGGAGCCCCTTCCGACATACACACACCATTGGCTGGACCCTCCCACATCAATCACTAATTTAAAAAATGCCCAACAGACTTGCCCACTGCCATTTCTTATGGAGGCATATTCTCAGTTGAGGTTCTCTTTTTTCAATGACTGACTTTTGTCAAGTTAACATAAAACTAGCCAGCACAGAAGACCAGACTTGTTACTGAAATATTCTGAAAATTCAGTTCATAAACAACACAGTCTATTTTAACTCTCCTCGGACGGTTGGAAATGTCAGTCTTTGATTCCTTTATTGTCCTACCATAGAATGCTCCAAAGTACAGTAAAGTTTGGTCTGAGCTTAGATTCAAAACTGATAACTACAATTATTATTTCAATATCCTCTTTTAGAGGAACTTCAGTCAAGGCTTTTAACATTCTCAGATCCCATTTAAAAACTGTTTGCTAATATTTTGTATTTATAGAATAGGAATCATAAATACTTCTTGAGTTATATCATAATTTTTAACCTTCAATTTAGTATAAAATAAAAGGAGGCCGTAGTCTGCAAAACCGAGAGAAGCGGTTTAAGAAGCTTACCTCAGATGGTCCAGGCCCTGCAACCTATGATCGACCTCATCCTGGGACATTGTGCATCACAAGCAGACAGGTACTCCAAGCTAAAGAGCATCTTCTGCAGTGTGTCACTTTTTAAATTATGTTTCTTGCTTTTTTTTTTAAAGATTTTATTTATTTATTAATTATGTATACAGCACTCTGCCTCTATGTATGCCTGCAGGCCAGAAGAGGGCACCAGATCTCATTACAGATGGTTGTGAGCCACCATGTGGTTTCTGGGAATTGAACTCAGGACCTCCCAAAAAGCAGCCAGTGTTCTTAACCTCTGAGCCATCTCTCCAGGCCCTTAAGTTATGCTTCTAATGACAATTCTTTTAGATAAAATGAAAAAGAAATCCTAAGCGGTTTGTTTGATGTTGAAAATGTAAAAAATAAAATAAAAAAAACTTACTATAAGGCTTGGTATATTCTTACTTTTCATATTGAACTTGTTTTATAATTAAATGAATACTAAATACTTTTTATAAACTTTAGTTTTAAACTATATTAATATCATACTTCATTCTTAATTCTTTCTTATGTTATGGTTCTGGGGATTGAACCCAGGGCTTTGTATGTGGTAGATAACTATTCTCCATTAAACTACATCAGTGAATTCCTTTTGTATTCTTCATTATTATGTATCCACAGTGCATGAAGTGACTAGGAAGAAGGGAGATTTAAAACATGGTCATCTATGTAGTTTACTTATTTTTAGTGACTGTGTATAAATGCCTGTTAAAACAATGATGCCCCCATGATTCCTGGGCTGCAGAAGTAGCCTGGTGTTGGAGAGCATTTGCCTAGCCCATGTGAGGCCCCGAGTTCTATCTCTAGATCCACACAGAACAAAACATGATGCCTGAAGAAAAATGAAAATTTAGATGGGGGACAGAGAAAGGTAGTTGCTATTTCAAGACAAAATTTGAAAAGTGATAGATGAATGGTCTTGCAATGAAATGCCTTAGGGATTTAAAGGACTACTGCATGATATTAGGAGTGATTATATTTTTTATCCCTAGTATTTCACATATCTTCAATTCATCATATTTTCAACAGTTCTCTTGAAAGAGAGCACTTTGTATTTTAGGATTAAGATCTTCATTGAATATGTTAGTGCAGAGATGAGGTTGAATTTTATGCCATGGATGTAGATATCAGGTATATTTCATGTGTAGGGACAAAATAAATGTCAAACATTGCTGAATGACCACATGTGTCAGTTATTAACACAATGCTACGCACTATTTTTACATATAAGGCAAATCACAAGAGCCACAATTTTAGCAGGAAGTAAAATTTGGACAATATAGTTGATTAAATACTATCTTAGAGCCATAATGAAATAGTCACCAGTATCCCAAAGTGAAAGAGTCTTTGGAGGGGCTGGGAGAAATGACTCCGTCTGCTCGTAAAGAAGAAGTTGCATGGTGGTCTGTCGTCAGGGGAAGGCCCACGAGTCACAACCCTGCAGTTGTGTTGCATGGTATGCTCAGGGATCTGAGGGAGAGGGACACGAACAGAAGCCCAAGGAAGGAAAGGCTATTGTTTTGAAACCTTTGATGCGTCCTTTTTGAAAGTATCAAATAGAAGGAGAGCTGCTCAATGTATTCTTGTACTAATTTTGTAATTATTTTCATAAATGCCACTAAAGCTACTTAGTTGATGTCTCTAGTGCAAAAAACATTTCTAGCAGTGGCAGCTTTCCTATAGCACAGTTGTGTATGGACATGTGTGCATACACCAGTGCATTCATTTGTTTGTCCAGAAAATACAGGGATCACTATAATCCCACAGTATCTTTTCTATACAACTAAATCCTTTAAATGGCCATGTTTTGTTTGATATACACTTTTTCTAATATATGATACTACCTCCTGTTTCTGTTTAACTTATTTTCCATGGAAGTAAAACCTTTTCAAAAGGACTAACCAACTTAAAGCTCTGACCTAATGTTAAGACTTTCAGTTTTGCCATAGTTCTTTCAGAATTAAAGGAAAAACACACCATATTTGTAAATGACTTTGATTAATTTCCATTTGCTTTAGCATTATCTCATAGACATTTTTCTGCTTTGTAGCCTGTGTAATTAGCACATATGTACAAGTTACAGGTAATACACAGAGAAGTCAAGGGTTGCAGGGCATGAAGCTGGAAATGTTAGAAAATGAACTAAAGGAAAGAACTAAGGATTGTTCTGTTTAGCATACACTCTCATAGTGTCTGATGTTGCTGCAGGAATGCCTCATTTTATTTATTTATTTTTAAAATCAGTACTATTTGCTTTACTAAGATAAGTAGCTGACCAAGTTAAAAGTAAATCCTTGGTTCTTGTGGTGGCTTTAATAGTGTTTATGACTTAGTCTATACATGTGCTGAAACTCCCTCAACTTAGTTCTATAAGACATTTTTTGGTTAATATTATGTAATTCATTAAGTCAATATTTAATGATTGACTTTTTTGTTCTTAATATTTCTTCTTGTCTCTGAATAACATAAAATGTCTTCCTCACAAACATTTTATGCTTAAAGAAAATTTCTAGAAAACCTGCAGTTTCCAAAAGTGTTGATGTTCCTTCAATCCCTTCTTCTGGAAAGGCACACGGCTACCATCTCAATGACGATGACAGTATTATGAAACGCACACCACCTGCAATTGATAACACAATAGGTCCAGCGTACTACAAGCCTCAGTTTGTAAGTATGACCCAAGTGATAATGACAGTTGGGAGACAGCTCATTATTGTATATTTTCATTCATGTGGCAGTAACTATAAGTAACAATTAGAACACTAATTTTTAATGGCTATATATTGCAGAAATTTTCTTCATACATGTGTGCTTGCCATCTGGCTAGCAGAAGAGAACAGAGGAAATGTATGAAATGCTTTTTAGGCTAGGTTTGGAAGCTGGAGGTCAATGGCATGGCTAGTCTTAGCCACCTGGAAGACTACACTCTGGAAAAAGGAACAGTGGTGACTACTAGAAGTTTCAGCCACAGGGTATAGATGGAATGCATAGACTTTCCCCTGCTTTTTAAGGAGGATCACTGGCATTTTGTTTATAAAGGAATTTGATTTGAGAATGTATCAATATTCTGGAAATTAGTAGTAAAAGAGGCTTCTCTGATTGAAATACTAAACATAGTTTATTAGGTCAATCTCATGGGGATCTTAACTTTTAAAACAGCAAGTTGTCAAAATTTCATTCAGCCACTTAAAGCATATGACTTATTCTTAAATGCATATAAATGAATGTAAATATTAAGTGTTTTTTGCTCAGTAACAACGCAGAAGTACATATTATTCTGATACTACGTACATTTGTTAGATAAGAAGTCATTGATGAGAACTCTTAGAGAGTGTGATAAGGATGCCGAAGTTAGTGCTGCACAGTTGATGACTTCTTCCAGGGGTGTAGAAGAGGAATGGCTCAGTTCTACTTAGGGACGGGTCACTTAGAGTTTGACCATGCTCCAGTGAGTGTATGGATAACACAAATTGCACTGGTTTTTTTTTTTTTGGTGGGGGGTGGGATCACAAGGAAGGGGAATGGACATGGAAGGACTGGGAAATAAGTGTGATCATGGTGAATGATGTGAAATTCTCCAAGAACCAATATTTTAAAAAAAGAAAAGAAGAAAGAAAACCTGGAAAACACAAAAGAAATAAATTCCTAGACACTTATGAGCTACCAAAATTACATCAAGACAATATAAACAAGCTAGAAGCCCTATGACAAGTGTGGTGGTTTGAATAGGTATGGCCCCCATAGACTTGTATTTGACTATTTGGCCTATTAGGAATAGCACTATTAGAAGGTGGGGTCTTGTTTGAGGGAGTTTGTCACTTGGGGGTGGGCTTTGAGGTTTCAAATGCTCAAGCTATACTCAGTGTGGAAGACAGTTTATTTCCTGTTGCCTGTGGATCAGATGTAAGACTCTCAGCTACCTCTCCAGGATCATGTCTACTTGCATGCTGCCTTGCTTCATGCCATAGTGATAATTGACTAAACCTCTGAAACTGTAAGCCAGCCACAATTAAATGTTTTCCTTTATAAAAGTTGCTGTGGTCATGGTATCTCTTCATAGTAATAAAAACCCCAACTATGAAAGACAGTAAATAATTTAAAACACCATCATCATAACAACAACTATACTTCCCCAACCTCTTAACCAAGAAAAGTCAGGGTCCAGATGTGTTCCCTGCATAATTTCTCCAAGTACTCCATAAAATAAAAGCTATATATGACAAAACCTATATAAAACATTGTATTAAATGGGGACAGATTAAGAGTCTTTCCTTTAAAATATGGAATAAGACAAGTTTTTCTACTCTCTCCACTCTTATTCAATATAGTGTTCAATATCTTACTCAAAACAAGACCAGGAAAGAAATAAAAGGGACACAAATAAGAATGTAAGGAATCAAATTATTGCTGTGTGCAAATGACATGGTCCTTTACTTAGAAAACCTAAAGGCTCTTCCAGAAAGCTGTTCTTCTAAATACATGCTTTTAGCAAAGTACTGGTGAGGTGAAAAAAACGTATTTCCTAAATCCTGATCCAACCCCAGCCTAAGGCTGAGTTCAGACTGGCCTCAGGCATATAAGGGTACTTATAGAAAATTTTGCAAACCTGCATGGTTCTGCTTCGGAAACAACCAGTCTTTCTGCTCTCTGCTGAGACAGAAACATCATAGTATAAATCTGTGCCCTGTTCTCAATAAAAGTTCATATCCTATAATGTGTGCTAACAGCCATCACAACTACTTTGAAGGGATGTGCCAAACTTGTGGATTTACCTTATAAATCCCTTGCTTACTCGGCTCAGGGCCAACTCCTTTGGTAGTCACCAGAGTGTGTGCCCCAGGCCAGGCTGTGTGCCTCAATGATAACTTCGGTGAGAACAGTCTGACTACAACATTTGGGGGCTTATTCCAGATCTGTTCTCTCCTTAATGGATGTCCTAATTTGACCCTCTTAAGCCTTCTGCATTGTCTAGTCTTCTGAATTCTGGTGAATGGGTTCTTCTGGGTAAGTTCTGGGTGATCAGACATTGGTCTCAAGTCCAGGGTTATGTCATCAGAGCATACTCTGTTGACAATATGTCATCAGGGGATGCTCTGTTGATATTTAGGTTAGGTGACTTCCTACCCTGGGAAACTCTGTGTTGTCAGTCTGCTGTGTTGGATGAATGAGAGCATGGTGGTCAGCCTTTGCTTGTCTGATTATTATTACTGTTTGTATTTATTTTTGTTGCAGTTCTATCTCCCAGCTTGCTCCTAGAGCTTTGCTCAGGCTCTGTCCCTCTCATTGGTCAGAAACCTGCTGTTTAAGTCCTGTGAAATCTCTTATCTCTGAGCTTACTTTGTTCTTTGTTTGCTCTCATAACTCCCTTTGGTCGATTTATTGAGTTTTTCAGGGATTCAAGAGTCTTTTGGGTATGGATAACATCGTTTTATTCTACTCTATTTAAAAGCTGGCTCTGGAGTTTGGTTATGGTCTATCCTCTCCTGACTCAAGCATGCTTGTTTAAAAGGTTTCTTCTATTGTCTGTCATAGGTTAAAAGGCAATCTGAGTCTAGGACAGAGTGACAGAGAGAGAGGGAGGGAGGGAGAGAGAGAGAACAGTCTAGGGAGAAGATACCATGTGCTTTAAAACAACTAAAAAGTAGACTATTCCCAATAAAACTACTGTTTATCTCATACTCCTTTCCTTGGTTTTATTTAACTCTTAAAATTTTTGCTAAAATATAAAGTTGAGATTTGTAAGACTATTATATAAATTTCTATACCTTAAGATTTATAAACTTACTGCATATGGTTGAAATCTGTAAAGATTACACATAATAACCTATGTAGCAATGGGAAAGCAATTAAGTATACTGAGTAAAGGCTCCAAATATTGTCTAACTGCTCTTTGGGAAATTTTCTAACAACAAATGATAAGTTTATTTGTTACTATTATGACTATTTGTTACTATTTGATTTTCTTTTTTTTAATTTATTTTTCAGTTTAAATTTAGATAAGAAACAAGGTTGCTTCACAAGTCAGTTCCAGGTCCCTCTCCCTTTCCCTCCCCTCCTCTCGTGCCCTCCCCCCAATCCCCCCATTATCCCCTCATTTCCCCAGGGAGGGTGAGGCCCTCCATGGGGGTGTCCATAGTCTGTCATTTCATATAGGACAGGGCCTAGACCCTTCCCCAAGAGTTCAGGGTGAGAGTTCACCTCACATTGTTGGATGGGAGTCCAAAGTCCGTGTGTATACTCGGGATGGGTACTGATCTGCTGCCCAAGGCTCAATAGATTCCCTAGGCCTCCTCACTGACACCCAGATTCAGGGGGTCTTGATCAGTCCCATGCTGGATTCCCAGGCTGATGCCTGGGATTCAAGAGTTAATCTTTGTCAGGTCAGCTGTTTCTGGGGGTTAAACCAGCCCAGTCTTAATCCCCTTGGTCATCAGTCCTCCCTCTCTGTTACTGGATTTCTTGAGTTCAGCTCAGTACTTAACCGAGGTAGTCTGCCTTTTCTTCGATCAGCCACTGAATGAAGTTTCTGTTTCCCAGAGTCTCTGGCCATGGGATTGTAGGCTGGCACTCCCCAGATCTATGTCTAAAATCTATATATGAGAGAGTACCTGCCATGTTTCTCTTTTTGTGACTGGGTTACCTCACTCAGGATGGTTTCTTCTAGTGTCATCCATTTGCCTGTGAATCTCAGGATTACATTGTTTTTTTCTGCTGAATAGTACTCCATTGTGTAAATGTACCACGTTTTCTCTATCCACTCTTCAGTTGAGGGACATCTAGGTTGCTTCCGAGTTCTGGCTATTACAAATAATGCTGCTATGAACATAGTGGAACAGATATCTTTGTTGTATGAATGGGCATCTTTTGGATATATGCCTAAGAGTGGAGTTGCTGGGTCTTGTGGTAGGTTTATTCCCATTTTTTCTGAGGAATCTCCATACTGATTTCCAAAGTGGCTGAACCAGTTGGCACTCCCACCAGCAATGGCAGAGACTATTTAATTTTCTTAATCAAAAGGATTTATATAAAAATTAGGATGGCTACAAAAAATGTTGCCTCATTCAAGGTCATTGTTATTCAAAACTCTGGTGCTGAAATGTAAACTTTCTTTCTTTGAGGATCTGTAAGACCATTATGTATATGTTGGGGAACAGCAGGATACCCCGTAATTTTGAGCAAAAAAAGTTAATTTAACAGGGATAAAACTGTAAAATCCTAGTCTTGTAAAAGCTGCTAACTTGATGTAAAGTGTTAAAGATACTTAGGACATACAATTTAATTGTAAGCTACCTTATAAAAGATCAAATTCTTTAAAGTATTCAGAATTGTGTGTGTAGTCATGCTAAGTATAAATGTAATTCATTCACAGGGACAAGCTTTCTGTAGCTTTCTGTATATCTTTTCAAGGTTAAGCCTAAAGCAAGTAACCAAGTAACTAAAAGCAAGTAAAATTTCTTTACAAGCAGGCATACTTAATAGATAGCCCACAAAAAAGCTTCAGAGACCTGCTGAATATGGTACTAAAATGTTCAGTTAACAAGGCTTAGCACGATAAACAAGAATTCTAGCTCCTAGCAACCCTACCTTGATTATGGTAATGCCAACCACTGGGAAAAAATGCACCATGCCTTGCTCACTGTCAGGACCCTGCCCAAAGCACAGACAAA